AAGTGACCGGTGTTTACCATGGAGCCCAGCAAACAGTTCGGTAAGCATTTCAACATCGCGATGTTAGCAATAATCCTCGTAGAACTTATCCGAACGCAGCTTTTCAATATCATTATGGAATCCGAGCTGCACAGAAGGTCGAAAGGGGATCGGTGTCCATACAAAGGCTACCATCTGGCCGTAGTAGTTTTATCACTGGTCATTAACCATGTTTGATACCGTAACGCTTCACCACTTCGTTGATCAGCCAACCGATGAATTCGCCTTCGATGATAACTCGGAACATGTTCGGAGGTGGAATCCTACCATCGACAGCGCCCCAGCTTTTTGCCAGAGACATCATACTTCTCTCCATTTGTCCGATCGTTGGACTATCTTACCGTGTGGAAATATTAAACCCCACCTTCAAGTCTGATTCCGGTTGAAACTCCCGCTGGCGACGCATCTTTGACTGAGTCGATGGCTTTCGGGAGAAACTCCTCCCGGAAGCGTTCATCAGAATCTGAAGAGCATCTGGCCAAGTTTCCTCTGATGCTGCACGCTCGCTTCGTCTACTTACCACCGTCATCTGTGGTTCATCCAAGTCCTCATCATACTCCAATCCAGAAGAAATTATTGTCCTGTCGGAAATTGGAAGTGCCTCCCTCGGAGAACGTTCTCACTCTAAACTTTAACCCACATAGAATTTTCACTTCTACACGTTATTCTGGTTCCAAAAATACCCATACTGTTGAGTATTTGACAGCTCTTTTTTTCAAAAATCAAAAGCTGCCATCTTGGATTTCTAGATGGCGCCCAACATCGATTTTTGACCTCTACACGTCATCCCCGTTCGAAAAATACCCATAGTTTAGGGTTTTTGACAGTATATCTAAAATCGATAGCTGCCATCTTGAATAGCAAATCAATCTACGAAAAATCTTTTTTCATCTCTTGTATCTAAATCCATCTACTTGCATCGCTCTTCACCTTTTTGCAGGAAATCTTCAAAATCTTCATCAATCTTCCTTCTATCTTATAAGTGTGCGTGCATCTAACAACAGCACAGCAAATATATAGATAGAGTCGCTCCCCTCGATTTTCAGAATATATTTGAAACACACTTAGAAATTCCTAATCTGACGGAATCCATCTTTGAAATGAAGGATGAGACTTAAACAAACATGTAATGTAAAATTAAGTTCTCCGAGACTGAAAAGTTTGAAATTACGTTTGATTGAGCTGAATTTTGCGTCTATTTTGACTCAATGTTACGTCTAAATTGACGCTCGTTTATTTCAGTCTCAGAGCACCTAAATTTACATCAATGTTTCTAAGTGTGCAGTTTTTATAGAACCAATGGCCGCCATCTTGGATTTCAAAGTGGAAAAAAGCATAATTGATCGACCTTTATACGTCATCCCCGTTCCGGAAATACTCATATTGTAGGATATTTGCAAGGGGTAATCAACTCTGCACACTGTGCCGAAACGCAGCATGGCACACTATTCGGCACGTTAAGGCACACGTTGACAAGTAGAATACAAAAAATATTATATTATATGGCATCACTGTTGAGCGTGGAATTTTTAACCAATCGTTGCTAAGGATGAATACTATGTTGCTCCAATGTAAAACCCAATAAGTTCGTGGATTGTGACATGCTGCATTTCGAAAATATGTAAGTATTTTCTGCACCATAAATCCAATCAAACTAACAAGACTCAGTCCATCTAATCTGATTCGCAGTGAAAACCCTTGCGGCTTGTGGTTTTGTAAAGTCGACCGTAACGTTTTACCTCCAACGAGGGTTGATCAAATGCCTAGAAGATCTGGTTTGGAATGCGATCGGCGAAATCGTTGAGTTTGCTTTTGCTGTAAACAGGTTGGTACATGGAGTTCAAAAGCAAACCGGTAGACATTGAACGTCAATTTATGCACATTCACAGTACATATCTCTGTAGGGAAAAATCTCCTCTGAAAGGTGACTAGATTGTGCTGGCTGCAGAATACATGTTGAAGAAGTTTGTTTTCAACGGTAGTCGATCAGACTCCCGGAAAGAGTGATTTTATGTAAGTAGATTAGATTGTTACTTCCAACGGTCTATCAGCGGCCGGAAAGAGATGGAACCGGTGGGAACATTGTTGGAGACCAACTATAGAGGATGATGACTTCTGTAGTTTGTTTTGTGTGAGTTGTATAATTTTTTTGAATTTTGGGTGCTAATAGGGTCTGAATAACTGCCTCTTTCTCTTGAGCCCACTCTAGAACCTACATTTCGTATTTAGATCTATAAGTGAACTACTGATCTGAGTTCCTCTGGTATATTCAATTAGAGGATGTTCCTGAATATACAGTCAAACAGCACGTAATGTTGTGAATAACTTCAATGACAGTTATCCAGTAGTGCTCCCATTGTATTTATCACAACCCAATGCCTACACGCAGGCAAAAGAACGTAAGAATTCCATAATAAACAATTGAATTTTAGCCATAAAAAAATGAGTGTGAAGTTCATTGATTTGCCTTATGAAAAATAATGTTGACAAAAAAATAACAAATCGGAGCAGACTGGAACCGGAAAATGGACGTTGAGGTTAGGGGGCCCGTGTGTCGACCACTCGGTTTGGGGAAATGAAATGGTTAAAGGCATATAAGAGCTACCTCATGTTACCCGAAAATCATTGATAAGTCACGCTTATGAAATTCATATATGTTGTTTATAAGTTGAGCCTTATTAATTTCTTAGGTCTATTTGCCTCAGCGTTCGAGATTGTGCCGAAGGTGTGCCCAAGGTATCCCGGAGGTGTGCCGATGGATGTTCTGAATCTGATTTCGGCACAATGTGCTGAGTGACTAACAGAGTGTCATACTGTTTCGGCACAGTGTGCAGATTTGATTCCCCCTTGGATGACCGCCAACTTGGATTCAAAAATGACATGCAATATCGATTTCCATTAGGGCACTTGACAGTGTTTCAAGAACCCATGGCCGCCATCTTGGATTTCAAAATAGCGCCCAACTTCGAATTTTGAACTCTACACGTCATCCCTGTTCCGAAAGTACTCACATTGCACAGCAACATCCTAACTGGGCAGTTTTGACGTAGACTACGTCTTACGGGAAGGTGCTGGGGGTAAATCGAAAATCTAAAATTGCGAACGTCACGAAAATGTGTAAGGTTTCGAACGCTTATATTTTTGTCATTTATAGATGAAATTTGAATCCAAATACACCAACCGATAGGAAATAACTCTCATAATCTGCTACAATTAATGTTTTTCTAATTTTTCATAAAATAACTGTTGAAAATTTACAAATAAAAATAAAAATAACAATGTTGTCACTGTTTTCATGAAATAAACGTTATTTCCAATCCCAATCGTCATAATCGAGTACCATTTGGTTGCTAATCGTGCTGCTTGAACCAGAAAAGTTATAAAACAGCGCTGCTTTTGTGCCTCAACGCATTTTCGCTTCGGACGGCGGTTGACCAGGTAGCAGTATCGATGGCGCAAGCGCTCTGAAGTGGATCAACGTCCTTGTCTGAATGTTAATGATCCCGCGTTCTACAAAGCTCGATTACTTTTTCGAATGGACATATCAGCTTTTGTAAACGACGCATTTTATCGTCCGTTTGGTGTAACTGATAGCTCGCCCACGCATACTACTAACACCACTATATCAGGTAGGGGAAAATTCCCCCTATCTGATGGTAGTGTTAGCATGTGTGCGTGAGCTACCAGTTACGCCAAATCGAACACCAAATGTGTTTTTTACAAAAGCTGATAAGTCTCTTGGAAAAAGTAATCGAGAAATACTCTTGGGCGAAATTTCGGTTGTTTTCGATTCAGTTTTGTTGGAAACAGTTCAGAATTTGTTTTAGTAGATTTTTATTTGCTGCATGATACTTAATTACATCATATTCATATATTAATTGAAAATTATTATTAGTTGAAGTTACTTAATATTTTCGCTCTACGAAGATCCTTTGATTGAAGAGTTACCTAAAAACAGAACAAAAATATTAGAACATGAATTCTCAATTTTCTACTCGACTGGATTATTACATTAATCCAGAGGATTTACTGACTGATGAAGTTTTTTTTTTATCTAGTTCGTTTATTTGCAAGGCTCAATCGCGTTAGCTTTACGGAGCCGATAATTCATTGTTCTTTGTTTGTAACAAAATTCACTTAATTCTATGTCTAGTAGGAGTTGGGCCGATTACTCACGGCTTACTCGAGGTTAGAGGGGTACATTGTCGAAGGATAGGAAAAGGGGAGGAGCTTGGGTAGGGTTTCGTTGTCTCCTCAGAGTGATGTCGCCAGTATGAACGGTAGTGTGGTTCTATCTGACTGATGAAGTTGACTATGAGTTGAAACTGAGATGCTTGCCAATAGATGGGTCACTTCGTGTCAGATGCCAGAGATTGAGACAAGCGCAATTGGAAGAAATTCGAAAACCAAAAACGTTGAGAGTAAAAAAATCAATTGCTGAAGAATATGGGACGTTCAAAGAAAAGGTTCAGGACATCAAACATGCCATTCAGTTTTACCCCGAACCTAAATTGATTTCTCGCCTAAGACATTGTAGACTGAGAGTTCTGCGATCCAATGCGGTAACAAGAGAGCAGGTGCGATTGAGGAAGGAATTTCTTTCGGAGATCGAGGGCCTATTAGACCATTACGGTGACCCAATAGATCGTAGAGGCACTCAATGGCCTCCAAACATACACATGAACCACTCTCGTACTCCAGGGCAAGAGCAGTTAGAAGAAGAAGAAGGTTTGTTGGATGAGACAATTGGCGGTGAGGGGTCACAGACTAGTGACGGATTTAACGAAGGGTTAGACCATCTGTGGGAAGACATTCGCAACCGTTCTCAAAGGCAAGAGCATGGGAAACAGGAACTGCTGTTACCCAATAGGAGGAGGCAAAACACACCACGAACCTCATCCAATATTCCCGCAGTACAGATGGACCACTTGAAGGAAGAGATAAACCAATATATACAACAGGCATTAACACAGCAGATGGCGGCATTAATGGACAGATTGACCCCGATGTTAAACAACCGTATGACATCAACACCCACAACCCCAAGATCTCCAGCAACACCATAGTCAATGCCACAGCCGTTACCAATGCCACCACCCTATCCTATGCCACCACCTTGTCCTATACCACCCCCATCACCACCTCTACCACCACCACCATCACCACCTCCACCACCACCGGCACCTCCAACTCCACCACTACCTGTACCACAGCAGCCGCCTCGGATACGCCAACCGAATCCAAGAAATGATCGATATCTTAACTCTCTAGCATCACATGTTTCTTCAGCGGGAGACCTCGATCCAGTTCCGTATGTTTGACCTCCGTACGATTCATGAAACCGTTGGCAGGTCCCTGTTAGTAAGTGGCGCATTAACTTCAGTGGGAATTCCAGAGGCCCAACTGTCACTCAATTCCTAAATAGAGTTGAGGTATTAGCTCGTAACAATCGCGTCTCGGACGAAGAACTTTTGAGTCAGGCTAATTTCTTTTTCAAAGAAGGGTCAGAGGCTAAAGAATGGTATTTTACTTTTTGCAACAAATTTATCAGTTTTTTTTTTTCCTTTGGTTTATTTTTTCCGTCGATCTTGTTTTCCGTGCTGAGCACCAATGCTACCAACGTGCCAGGAAGGCAGCTCCCACACCTGGACCCTACCTATCGACCCATCAACTCATGAACCGGGGACTAACGGCTTTACTTCCCATCCGAAGGATGGCGTGATCAGAGATGTTATGCCTCAGAACATCCTGGCGGTGCCGACTGGGATTGAACCCAGGCCTGCTGGGGTGAGAGGTAATCACGCTTACCACTACACCATCGGCGCCGTTTAAATTTATTCAAACATCAACTTAGGTTACGTTTTGAACAACCCAACAAGGACAAGGTGATTGAACGCCAAATCCTTGATAGAAGGCAGCATCCTCAGGAGACCTTCAATGCGTTCGTTTCGGTTATTGAAAAGCTTACTCAGCAGCTGACTAGGCCAATGTCAGAAGAGAGGAAATTGGATATCCTCACCGAAAATATGAAAGATTGTTACAAGCCCTTTTTGACAATTTATAGGGTTGAGCGAGTCGAGGAACTGGGTTGGACAAATCGATGTATCGGAGCTACAGTAATTACTCCAAGAATAGGCCACCCCAAATACACCATTTAGAGGAGACAGAACAGGAATGGGAATCGGAGTAGGACCAAGAAGAAGAGTTGAATGCTATTGGACAATCACTGAAGCGTAAGAAACCGATTGAAAAACCTAAAGAGTTGACTGGGGCGGTACCAAAAATACCACTAGCGGAACAAAATAATATTTTGTGTTGGAACTGTCGGCAATACGGCCATTATTGGCGCGATTGCGAAAAGCAAAAAAAAAAATTGTCATTTTTGTGGGCAGATGAATTACATCACTTCAAATTGTCCCAACAAACATCGTTTCCAGACTCATCAGGAAAACGAGAATTCAGAAAGATCGTAGGGAGGGACCTTCTGCCTCGTCACAAACCTCCCCTGTAGAGGGTCCATATGATCAATGTCGTCCGTATTCAAAATATGCTACTGCTTTTTCCATCAACACAAAACCCAATAGATGTCCGTACGTTGATGTTGAGGTACTTGGAACTCCCTACTTGTGCTTGTACTTGAAAGCCCTCTTGGATTGCAGCTCTCTTGTGAGCCAAATCTACAAACTCATTGCCTTATTGACTATTTGTTCAGACAATTCCTTTGCTTAGTCATCTAAACAGTCGGTTAACTAGCTTGATTCCAATTCGCTGCGGTCGTTAACAAAAGAGGAAACTTTCCCTAAAGTACCATACCCCGCGTCGTAAAGCACCCATTTTCCATATCCAGTCTGCTCTAAGTGACGAACCTCCCCCGAACCACACTCGAATGTCATGTAATGAATTACACGTACCGGAATAAATCATAAATAATCGAGTCTTCAGCCAAAAGGAAAACACTTCAACGACGCAAAACGAAACACGATTTGTGGGAACTTCTTCCAAGTCGGCGAACCACAGCCATGCAGGAAGACGTGTTGATAGGCAGTTAATTTTCCACACTCCTAATGCGATTAGCGAAGCGCTAGGGGACGGTGGAGCATACATGTGGAATTATGTTTCATTACACGGCATGTCGGAGAGGTCCTAATTGATGTCTTTGTTTTGCTTTGTTTGGAAACTTGGTGGAAGCTGGGGTTGCCCAACGAAACCACCCAAGGGGGCAGTTTGTTACGAAGCGAAAGTTTTAGCTCGGCTCTGGCGGCAGATCAACAGATTCTTCCTGTGATTCAATTAATGGGGGGAAATCCATCATGCTCTAACCGAGAAGTGTAGGTGCTTGTGTTGGCAAACTTCTGACGGAATGCTGCAGGAGCAAAAGAAGATGAGATCAAAGTAGAAACATTGCATTACAGTGTTTGGTGGGAATCGAGGCGAAATCAGGAAGCATTCTCTCGGGCCAAGCAACAAAGTAGCAATTCGTAATTGGCAATTGTTGCTGGAGTGGTTCTGGATATGTGGCTAGAAGGGGGTGGAAGGTGCAAACAAGTTCCAAGATACAACTTTGATTACTTTGCTGGTGTTTTCTGGTGATTAACAGTAGGAAAGTTGTTCCTGTAAAGCTTCGAGCATCGACGGGGATCTCCGGGCTGAATATTGACTTATCAAATCAGTTCGAGCAACTAGATTACACGGTTCGTTTAATCAAATAAAGGTAGTAAATTCTGCTGGCGCTTGAGCAATATTTTCGACTTAAAGCACTTTCATTTTCACACGCTGAACTTAAAGCTCACTCAAAATAATTGCCACTCATTTGCATTGATGTTGTCGGAACGAGCTCGAATTAACCACTCAGCCGGTCCCCTTTGCAATAGACTTCGTAGCCTACCGACCGGCAGGTTAAACGATTGCCCTTGGTAGCTGCCTACTCACTTCACGTACAAAGTGACTACTAAATAGCTCGTAGGAAAGTCATTTTGGGGCACACTTTCTCCTTTTTCGCACATTTCACGGTTGGTCACGGCTGGATTGCGCTGGTCTGCCAGGTCGACGAAGGCTTGTCAAAAAACACGGCATGGAGAGAGACTGGTATTTTCCATGTTGTCCACCCACTCCCATCCATAAAGCTGTAATCCGTTTACCTACGAGCAGGGTTCGAGCGAAGGAGCCCGAAGCGTGTCTCCATTTTTCCGCAGTTTTGTTGTTCCGCACGTTGTAATGGATTGACATAAATAAATCGTAAAATGGCGTGTCCTGTTCATTTCGGTTGCGTTTCCTTCTTCAGTTGGTGCCTGAACAGCTGACTGCCATCACGTTCCCGGTTTGATGAATCTTTTAGTGTGGGCTAGCCCGCGGTGAAGAGGCATTTCGAGCAATAGTGCACACAGTTTGGTCCAGATTAGAGTGAAATTTTCGTGAAGGATTCTGCCCTATAGCAAGTGGTTGAAGTAGTAAGTTTCTTTTCTCGTTCCATGTTTTACAGCGAACTGATCACTACGATACATTTGTATTTTCTAACGTTAGTCTTGGAGTGGCTGTCATAGTAGCCATGATTATCGTAGAATGACATCAAATGAACTCTTCAGCTTCTAATCTGACTACGTGCAAATTAAATCATCCAAAATGTCGATCTGTAAATCCGCAATTTCTCCAAAAATCGACACCAGACCGCCGATTTTGTTCGTAGAGAACGTTCTGCATTCGACAAAGCTAGTGCACGACATCCGGCGACAGCGCGAGATTGCCAGAGATAACAAGGAGCTCCTGAAACGAATCAACAAGATCAATCGAACTGAGGTTTCCGAACATTCAACTCAAATGAAAAAAAAGTTGGACTTATCTTCGAAATTCTTTAACAGGGATTCCTCGGAGTCAAATACGATTACAAACCGAAGAAGTTGCTTCACTTGGAAGCCCGGAAATGCAATGCCAACCAGATTGAACAGGACAATCTGGCACTGCTGCAGAGGATCTTGAACGTTGTAAGTATGCGAACGTGGAAATTGATGCCATGTATTCTAGAAATTTACATCTTCTCAAAATCCAGAAACCGGAGATAAACGCCTCCGCTCAGGAGAAGTCCTACCAAAAATTAATCAAATATAGAATCATTTGCAACAAGTTCTCCAAGCAAACTGAAAAACTACCGAGGAAATCGAAATCTCCCACTTGTTCGCGGTAATGATCGATGATTGTTGATTAGAATAATGTAAAATTAAAATGCTCATTTCCAGCATTCGGATGGAACTCTTTGAACGCACCGATCGCAAGTTGGGTTCAATCAAAATCAATATAAATGTCACTGCTCTAGTGGATCATTTTAGGAAGGAGAGGATCAACTGCCTTGACGGAAGCATCCATCGGATCTATCAAAATCAATACATCGTAATCCGTGGCCACTTCGGTGCGGTTGATTATGGCAAAGAATCGCAAAGGCTGCTGCTCGAACATGTCGGACGAGGATCGCTGCTGAGAGCAACTGTAAACGATCAGCCAGCTTTGTTGATAACTCTGAAGACATTTCCACGGCTTGCCAACTGCGAATTGATTGGAATCGTGGATGACGACTGCGAAAGGATGCTTAATGTTTTGAACTTTTACGGTTCAACGAACGGAAGAACATTGGAGCCTTTGTGTTTTCGAGTGAAAATCGATCGACAATAATCAATTGGGAGGAAATTATACATTCTGATCACAAATGTTTGAAAGGTTTTACAATTTGAAATATTTCATTGAAAGTTTAACTTTTGTTCGACGGAATCCTAGAAGTTTCTGAAATTTCAAGATTTCAAACATTGTTAGCCTGTTTACTTAGTCAAAATTATTATGTCCAAGATTATTAATTATATAATTTGCTTCAGTAGGGAAATCCCTCCCCTGGGCAAGTTTTTGCACCTTGCTGCTGGTGGGCGGCCCTAATTTCATGATTCACAATGGAGTTTTGGAGACGGTAGGTTTATGGCCGGCATTGCTGACTCATGCCGCGATAGAATGGCGCCATGTTTAGCCGATGGGGATTACTAAACTTCCCCTCTCTGATCAACCACTGTATGAGAGAATCAAAGATCTAGGGGCCTTATTACGGGTGTCACTACGCGGTGATAAGGAAGTGATACTCATAATAAGAGCCGTGATTGCCGTACAAATCAAATGGGAATCACTTCACCGTGCCGACAAGTGACAAGTTTTCACCGTGAAGTGACATCCGTAATAAGCCCACTAGTCTGGCAGTGATAGTATAACACTTGTTACTCCTTTGTTTGAGAGCCGTGTCGTAGTACGCTTACGTATACTGCCTTTAAAAGCATAACTGTTCCATATAAATAGGACAATTATGCGAGTATCGGCAGAATAGGTTCTGAAGTTGGGTGCAATACTGCCGGGTTTTGCCGCCAATCACTTTTATTTTATTTATTTTTACGCGGATAGATTTATTTGGGTTTGCAAGGGAATTATAATACTGAAATTTTTCAGAAAGTGCCAAACAGTAACATAAAACACCATTTTCGTACATGGTATTGTAACTAATTTTATATGTGCTTCATTTTGATGTGGGATGAGTGTTTGAACTATGGCTCTTATTACGGATTTCACTTCACGGTGAAAATGAAGTGAAGTGACCACTTGTCACTCATGTTGAAGTGATTGCCGTGTAAATCAAATGTGAATCACTTCTGCGGGTGACCACCGTGAAGTGACATCGGTAATAAGGGCCATAAACGTATATGTATTTTTGTGTTGCGAAACGGAACATATACTATATATAATTTAAAAATCAGTTAGGAAACTAACTTCAAAGTGGTGCATTTTAGTCCCTTGAAGGTGTCACCTGGGACGAACAAAGGTCATAGTCCAAAGTACTTGAAACAGGTTAAATTTTAGATTTCAAGTACATATACTTAATAAAGCATAGGTTATGATTGATTAGGTAGATTAATAATATTATTAATAATCATCGCATGAACTGCGACAAGGAAATTCAGACAGTCTAATAATATTAAACAGATTAACAAAAGAGCTAAGACGTGGGGGGGGGGGGGGCTTAGGTTTAGGTTTAGGAAGGCAACTAGCTTTTAAAGTTATAGAATGGATCTTTGTATTTAGTATATTTGTTAATTACAGTCAATAGTGATAGTTATATCTTTGATCAGGCGCTTATGAATAAGTGATGTTTTGGAAAGGATGTGATGAATATGTTGAAATGTTTGAGGTGAGAATTAGGACTGTAGTGCTTTAGAATGTTTTCGGTAAGGTAGAATACGTAAACTAAACCCTTTTGAGTAAACTTTCTAGAATCAATTCATGCAATTTACAGAAAAGAGATATGCTAAATGAATAATTTATTAAGTAGTAAACGTTCATTCATACATTGCCTTGGCGATGTAAAACAGTATTCTTCTCTAACGATACTTGATATCTTCGTCTAACGTAGTCACGGGGTAAGTCACTCAGCACATTGTGCTAAAATTAGGTTCGTCACACCTTCGGAACACCTTCGGCACACTCTCGTAGGCATTGGATTGTTTGTAAATAAAATGGGAGCCCTGCTGGACAACTGCCATTGAAGTTGTTCACAACATTACTTGCTGTTTGCCTTCTAGATTTTCTAATTGAATATACCCGAAGAACTCAGACCAGCAGTTCACTTCTCGGTTCACTTATAGATCTTTATAAGAAATGTAGGTTCTAGAGTGGGCTCAAAAGAAAGAGGCAGTTAATCAGACCCCATTGGTAACCTTAATTCAAATAATGCTGAAACTTTCACAAAACAAACTACAGAAGTCATATGCATCATCCTCTATAGTCGATCTTCAACAATGTTCATCAACTCTTTTCAGCCACTGATAGGCCGTTGCTTTTCACATCACATTTAATATCCTATGAACACAAAACACGAAAATTTCGCACACCCGCCACTTCCCGCGTCATCCTCAATCCAATTTATCCATGCTATTTCAAACCAAAACATTCAAGGTGTCAGAAATGCAGGGTTGCCGGGACGGGTATTTCACAAACAGTCGCAGCTTGCTCTATGACCGACACAATCGGCACACCTGTGGCATACTTGCGGCACACTGAAAAAAATTTGACCCAAGATTAGTGTGAGGAGTGACCTTGAACGTAGTAGTAGTAGCAGTGTCACATGATCTTACAACAATTGCCTGCAAAAAGTGCTACAGGGGTTGGCAGGGCTAAATACGGATCTAACACTCATCCATTGCATCAACAGAGCCTTATTACCACTGTCACTTCACGGTGCAAACAAAGTGAAGTGACCACTTGTCACTCACGGTGAAGTGATTTCCGTGTAAGTCAAATGAGAATCACTTCACCGTGAATGATAAGTTGTCACTTCACCGTGAAGTGACATCGGTAATAAGGGCCAATCATTTTATTTTTCTACTAATCTACAGCTAGGTTACTCAAAATAACTAGGATAGGCAAATTTTTGGTCAACTTTGAAGTATTGTAACTTCGTCAAATATGATCCGATTTTAAATCTTCCAAGAGCATTTGACTGGAAAACTAATATTGTTCTACTATGTAGCCATGAAAATAATCCTGGTAACCAGATACCGGAGATATTCCGGGTTTCCGGAGGGCTTATCCAACTTGCTAAATTGTTGGTGAAATTTTATATATGATGCTGGTTAATTATATATATTTTTAGTAAATACAACGGCATGTTTTTGAGTAAAAATGCAACTGCTCCCTACTACAGGTTCCCCCGGAGGTATCCCGTGATTACGAGAGCTGCCAATGTGGTCACTGATCCATTTGAAATTTAATGAATGCCTATTCCTGAAAAACCATGAAGAATGAGCTGTCGCACGGCATGTTTTGGTGTAAAAATGCAATTGTCCCCTGCTCCAGTTTTCCCCGGGGGCATACTGGATGTTCCGAGAGTGGCCAATGTGGTCAATGATGCGTTTAAAGTTTATCGAAAGTCTATTGATGAGAAACGATGCAAAAAGAGCTGTCCCACGGCATGTTATGAGTGATTAAATGATCTGTCCGCATTCAGAACCCTCCACCAGAACTGATTCCAGGGAAATGGCCATATCTCGGTTGATTATAAGCTGATTTTAGTTCTTGGCATATGATTCGCTTTAGAAATGGTTCTTCTTTCGTTGTATTTACTAAAAATATATATACTTAACCAGCATCATATATAAAATTTCGGAAACCCGGAATATCTACAGTATGCGGTGACCAGGATTATTTTCGTGGCTACACACTAAAACAATATTAGTTTTCCAGTCAAATGCTCTTGAAAGATTTAAAATCGGATCATATTTGACGATGCTACAACATTCCAAAGTTGACCAAAGATTTGCATATCCTATTTATTTTGAGTAACCCCTGTATCTATGCTTCTTTTCAAGGGGTAATCAACTCTGCACTCTGTGCCGAAACACAGCATGATACACTGTTCGGCACATTAAGGCACATTTTGACAAGTGGGACTCAGGCAATATAATATAAACCGGCATCATTGTTTTGTGTTGATGTTTTGCCAATCGTTGCTAAGGTTCAATACTTTGTTTACTCCAAAATGAAACTGGTGATACAAGGATTCAATCAAGTATTTAAAAGTGACAAACGGGTACCCACCGGGTGTTGAAGTTCGTTCGAAAAATTAAGTGTTGTCTGAATCATAAATCTCTTCAAACCTAGCAAAACTAAGTCCGTCTCTTCCGAATCACAAAAAAAAAATCCAGCGGATCGTGTTTTCATCTAGAACAGCTTCTATTTGGGCCTCACTTCAATCGAGTTCATCTACATCATGACCGGTCCAGAGCGTTTTGTCGATACGGCAGTGAAGATGGTTATAACGGGCTACCTCTAGACAGGGTTGCTTCCACTCTTCTTCTTGTTTGCATTTCAAGCTTATTGCATATCGCATATTAGCTTATTGCGTGCTCTCAACTTAGTGTTCTAGATGCACTTTCACAGTTATTAATTGAGAGCTTTCGATGCCTGCATTAGTACAATTGTGTGGCAAGTACAATCATACTCTATGCCCAGGGAAGTCGAGAAATTTTCCAACCCGAAAAATTCCTAGACCGGACCGGGAATTGAACCCAGCCAGCTCCAGCATGGTCTTGCTTTGTAGCTGTGCCTTTACCGACTGAGCTAAGGAAGGCCTTGCTTCCACTCACTTGCTATAAAAAATATTTTTTTCGGAACTATTCAATCATTAGATGATATAATGATATGTTGTACTTGTGAGTAAAAAAGAGAGCGTAAAGTAAGTGTTTGATTCAGAGTGAGCGCTCACGAGTCGTAGAATCGATTATTGTGACGCACTGAAAGCAATATTGACCGATTCGATGTATCAAACACGTACTTTACGATCTCTTCTTGTAGCTTACAAATACTAATTATCATTATACCATTTAATGATTTCATAATTCCGAAAAACATTTTTTTTATAGCAAGTGAGTGGAAGTAACCCTGTCTAGAGGTCTAGAGGACGATTCGTTTTCGATTGAGGAAAGGTTCCAAAGGCCACACCACCAATTTCATCAATATCAAGCAGATGGATTCCAACTATACGACAGGGAAGGCGGAACACCTACAATATGATTCGTTATGTTATGATGAACATCGAACATCTATAGCTTGATGAATACTCACATTCAGTATTAGAAAGTTCACCA